TCCTGGCAAAAAAAAAAAAAAAAAAAAAAAAATTCACCATGTCTTGAATGGCAAAAAACTTTGGCCTTAAACCAGGGCATTTTAGTCGTGGTGGTTTGGAGAGGGAGGTTTGTATCCTAGACTAACATCCAACTCTGCAGTGTGCCCTCCTGTAATAATTAGCCAAATTATTAGTTTGGCTAATAATTGCTCCAAGGAGTAGCATCACTGGGTTGAATATTACAGTGTTCCAGAGGGGCTTTCCTCTGACAGTAAAGAGAAAGAGGACTTGAGTCCAAGTTCCCAGTACAACCATGAGTTTAAAAAAAAAAAAAAAATGAAATTTTATTTCCAGTGGATGTATTTTCTAGCCCACTAAATCTTTTCTTTTGACTTACTGTATCACGGTGCTTTGTGGTGAACTTTCTGGGAGGTGAATCCGACCACTGGAGCCCCACTGACAGGAGCACATGGAGATTGCTGCACCTTCTCCCTGCCTGGAGAGGAGAGAGCAGTGAAACCCTGGGGCTGCAGAGCTTGCCCAGCTCAGCCCTGCAGCATTTGTGTGGAGATAAATGATTCCTGGAGCAGCAGGCCTGCAGATAAGCAGTTATCTGTGCTGTGCACACACAGAGGTGTCCACACAGCCCCGAGCTGCTCACAAGCTGCATCACTGCTGATGCTACCCAGGTGACTGTCACCTACTGTGAGAGATTTATGCCAGTGTCATCACCACTGGGCTTACCCCCCTCACCTGCCTACCACACTATTCAGCAACTGCTCCTACTGAGGAAAATTGAAGTACTTGCAAACTTCTAATCCCCACCTTGCTTCAACATTATTTTCTCAACTTCAACTTTTTCTTCATATCTGTACAGCCATGGAGAGTGGTACAGGGAGGATCTTACCTCTAAGGTGCATAGGTGTCCTCCCAGCTCCTCCTGGAAAACAAAAAGTAAAATACCTTCCATCTCAGGTACCTTCCCATTGGATAATGGAGGCAATCCAAACAGAGCTCAGGGCACCAGAACTAACCCCTTCAGTTTTTCTGTGTTTTGTGCCATGGAATTGGTAGTCCTTGGTGGCAAAGCAAATGCAAATTGATTGTTCAGCCTACAATATGAGGCATTTATATGACCTGTCTGTGTAAGGCATTTATATGACCTACCTGTGTCTCTGTGTGAAAATGTTTTATCTTTCCTTAAGACCTGACCTCTTTTTACAACCTTTTCTGCTTGCCAGATTTTCACATCCTCCTCAGTTGATTATTTTTGCAAAACGTGTAGGAATTAATTTATCTCTGAGACTTTAATCCCTCAGCCAAACCAGACTGAAATAGGCCAAGGCAGAGACACAGGCAGAGGTCAAGGACCCTGTGACTTATTGTTATATGAGTAGCCAGGTAGGTCCTGAGAGGCACCTGCCCTCTTTGAGGGCTGGTATCTTCCCTGCTGGGTAAGAAACTCCTACTGCACAGGAGAAACAGCTATCTTCACCCCATTTCAATTATCTTTACCCCATTCCAACCATCTTTACCCCATTGCAACCACAGGCTTAGAGAAGACCCTGCACACGTGCAGCACAGCACTGCTGAAGCTCTTGGCACAGCTACAAACTCCTCCTGCAACATCCAGAGCAGCCCACCCTCAAAAACCACAGCATCCCACTTCCTCACAGGGAGAACCTTCTCTTCTCCCTCCAGCAAAGATTTTTCAGCAAATTCAGACTCCAACAAACCCAGCCAAACCCCAGAGCATCCCTTCAGTCCCCACTCCTTTAGTAAGAGACAGGAATTTGATTGAAGCTCCCACTGTCTCTTTCTCTGCCTTGTCTGGCCAGGGGGAGGTGATGTCCTCTCCTATTTAAGGTTTAGCAGGGCTGTGGCTGCAAGGGATGGCTTTTTTGATGACTTAAAGGAAACCTATAAGGAAGATGGGGATAAATGTTTTAGGGGAGTTCTGTTGTGATAGAACAAGAAGTAATGGTTCTAAATGAAAAGATAGAAGATTCAGCCTAGTACAGGGAATAAATTTTTTACAATGGGGGTGGTGAGGCACTGGAACAAGAGGAGCTGTGGCTGCCCTCTCCTTGGAAGTGTTCAAGGGCAGATTGAAAGGGGCTCTGAGCAATCTGGTCTAGAGGAAGGTGTCCCTGCTCACTGCAGGGCAGTGGGATTGGATGGCTTTTAAAGGTCCTTTCAAACCTAAACTCTTCCAAGATTCAATGAGTCTATGGCTCCAAGGGCTGAACTGTCCCATATTGCGCTGACCCCTTCACTCCAGGTTTGTGTCCTCTGCAGTAATTCTTACAATGAACACAGCTTGTCCCTGAGCTGAAAATGAAAATTATTTCATTTTTGCTTGGCTTGCAAGATTTGAAACAGAATGAAGACGAACTTGTGCAACTGGGACTGTCTATCTAGATGAAAAAAAAAGTGTTAAAACCCTGGCTTCCCTATAGGAATTGCTAAATTCCCTTTAGCTTTAGAGAAACTGAGATTCTACAGAAGCCACAGAGGTTCTATAGTAGAGGTAGGTTCAAGTGACCTTTATAGTTCTTTTAGAACCATGCAGGGTTTTATCATAACTGTCTGTATTTTTTGGTTTTTTCTCTTGAAGCCCTATTTTTTTGACTAACATAAAAACCGAAAAGTTTGAAAATATGACCAAATCATATAAACGTGACGTTTTGGAGTTTTAAAAATAAAGTAATGGTAGTAACAATAATAATATTGAGAAGAGACAATTCTTTTGAATTAAAATCTCGTTATTTAAGCCACTCTGCTGACGTTTGAATACTGCTTAGAGGTTTCTAGGACTGCAGTGATTTTCTAGGGAAAAAACACCTCTAATGCTCTGACCCGGCTGGGACTCACAAGCAAAGAAATTCCAGAGAAAAAACAACTGCAGCAGCAGTCTCAGAAACTTTGCCATGGCAAAGGCACGTGGGCCAGGGGCTGCCCAAAGCCCTGTTTGTCAGCTGGCTAAAATAGCTCAGGCGGAGGTGCTGACAAACCCATGCCTGTGCTGCAGCCCAACACCTCCAGCCCTCGCGGGGTTATCGGTGACGTTTGACGGCGAAGCATTTTTTTGCTGGCTGCCAATAGCTATTCCCCGAGGACTATTTGCTTTCACATGCTTTCCCTTTGACACGGCTGCTATTTCTTTGCAATATGTAAACACTCAGAAGGATTTCCATGTTTGTTCTTCGCCCGGCATGGACGGTCTCTCACGGCTTGGTGGGAGAATTGACACGAAGGAGCAGCCGCTCCGCGGGCGTCCGGCGCTTTCTCTCCGCGTGCTGTGCTCCTGTCTGTTTTCTCCAGTTATAAATCCAGTCCTGCTCCACTCTCCACACCCCTGGCACACAGCAGGAAAATGCATTCCTGGTGCCAGAAACACAACACTGCCATCCTACATGGGCGTCACTTAGAGCCCAGCTGAGGCTTTGCACTGCGGAGCATTTATTCTTTATTTCTCCCCTTCCAACAGCAATGTTTTCTGACTTTAAAAAGCCTCTTTCAACCTCAAGCAAATTACTAATATGTGACTTTTCCTAAGAAAACTTACTGGGTTGCCTGTGCTGCTGTTAACTCTCTCTCTTAACACCAACTTTTTTCCAAAGGGGTCTTGATATTTAATAAGACAAATTGCATCAAAAGTAAAAAGGAACATAAACCACTAAAGAAAAAACTGTCAGAATGAATCTAGAAATTTCAGGCCCTGACTCCAACCTCATGGTTTGCACCTAGGCTTGATTTAATAGATCTGCTGCTTTGTAAAATCAACTTTATTTTACTTATTAATGTAGTTAAGCTGCAGAACAGTACCTACAAGAGATTTAAATTGGATATTAGGAAGAAATTATTCATTGTGAGGGTGGTGAGACACCAGAACAAGGTTTTCCAGAGAAGTTACTGCTGCCCTATCCTAGAAGAGTTCAAGACCAGGTTGCACTGGGCTTGGAGCAACCGGTCCAGTGGAAGGTGTCCCTGCGCATGGCAGGGGGGATTTAGAACTAGGTGATGTTTTAGGCTCATCCCAATCCAAATAATTCCATGTTTTAAAAAACAAGTATAAAAATCCACATTTTCTGAGGAGACAGTCCTCCAAGTTCCATGCTAGGGCTGGAGAACAAGAAATCCAATTGGCAAACTTTGGGTTTTTTAAAATTTCATCCTGAAAATTAAAAAATTTGAAACCCTGCAGAAACTTTCCCAAGACCTGCATGAAAATCAGGAAAGTTCTGTAACCCAAATCAGCCCCTAGCACAGTGATGGGTTAACATCTATAGAAGTTAGGCAATTATAGTAAAAATCTGGATGTGAAAATCTTCCTAGTGTGGATCATGACACTGAATTTCCTCTACATGGGAATTTTGACTACAAATTCTAACCAGGAATTTCCTAAACTAACTTGACAGTTTCCATAGAGAATTCTCATTTCAGCAAAGTGCTCCTTCCAAACCAAAAATATCTTCCTGAATTTCAAACAGATTCATTCTATACACATTGACTCAGAAGTCAAATTATTGTATGACATATTTTAGCAAATACTTATTAAAAGAACCCTCTTCTCCACAAGTCAGACTGCCCCAGGTAAATATAAAACATAATTATAAACTGATTTTTATTAAACTATTTCAAAGGTCTGACTGAATTTTTTCATTGCAGTTCAAACTAGTTTTCCTCCTCCAGCTAATTCTACTGGGCAGGATGGGTTGAAATATCAGTGTTGGGTTCATCCTTCAAATGATTCTGTTTGAAGAGAGACTTTCAAATCTGTTTTGGATTCATCTGATGTAGCCAGAAATTCTCCACTGATTTCAAGAAGCTTTGGATCAAGCCTTTAATGCTCTGTAGGTTGTCTTCCAATGTAAGATGAACTGGAGGGGTTTTCATCAACAAGCCTCCAAACAAAAGTCTCCATGCATTTCCCAAACAAATATGTAGAAAAGTGTCAGAGAAATAATAACAAAATGTTGACAACATAATAATATTTAAAAAAAAAAAGCAGAGGAAATATTTGTTATCCTTATTTATTTAATAAAGAAACATAATAAACTTGAATTTTTCCAGGTACAAACAGCTTAATATGTCCTATGATATTGGCTGATATTTTCCTTGCTCTTTTTGTAGCTTGAGTGATTCATGTGGTAGCCTTTATTGAACAAATCAACAGAAAAAAAAAAAATGGTAGCACTCACCATGCTTATAGATAGTGTGGGCCAACTATTGAGTTTGTGTCTTAAACTAAATCACTGCACTGGGAGGTTGTATCATGGCTCGATTCAGATCGGCATCTCCAGTAACAAAGATCTACATGTGAGGTTATTTGACATTTTTGAGGGGAGTTCTGCATACCATACAAAGATACCATTCCCTCTTCATCCCTAAAGAAACACCACAGAACAATAGAAAACCCAATAGAAAACCGACCTTCCAGTTACAAAGGTTTTTGAAAGCAATTTACAATTCAGTTTTAGAAAGTTGCACTGTAAACATCTAGAGTTAAGAGCCTCTTTCAGATTTTTTTTGCATTACCTTTTTTTTTTTTTTTTTTTTTTTTTTAGAGATTTTGGGTAAAAGAACCATTTGTAATTGCATCAGTACTATAGGGTCTCAGAGCAATGACACTAAAATGTTTGACTCAAGGGTGAAATGACCAAAGGAAGGGCTCTTCTCTAATAAAATCAGTGACCAGCTAATTGTCTCTTTACATTCCATTCATTACTGGGCCTGACTCTTAATAAAAACAGCTGTTGAATATTTTCCAATATAAGTTGCAAATAACTAAAATATTGTTAAAGCAGCATAACCAACAACTCACTTCTGAGTGTAGGCTGGCATTTTCCTTGGGCTTCAGACAGTTTACACCATATGAAAAGAAATCACATGAGAAATACTCCTTTTCCTTAGCATTTTTCCCTCTTTTTTTTTTTTTTTTTTAAATCCTAAAGCTTTGAAAGGAAAATAATTTTGCTACTTGTCAGCCAATAAATGCTTGTTCAGCAAGTAATGAATGTACTATTTTCTAATTAAACAGTTTCATTATAGGCAGCAGCTTGTTGCTAATGATCGATAAATCCCATTGAGGAGAAAACATTTTAATCAGTAAGTCGTGTCCTCCGAGTGTCAGCCACTCTATAAACTCACAAGATACATATATATGTATAGATATACGTATGTGTGTGTGTATATATATATGCATATAAATATAAAAAATCGCATACTCTTTCTGGGTGATATGTACAGTCAGAATAACATTACAGCATAAATACACAGGGAATATAAAGTTTCTCTAATTTGAGAAGCCTTGAGCAATTCTGAGTTTTTGGGGGAGGTGAGGGGTTGGGAGGGGGGAAGGAATAAAGAATGTTTTTACTTCAAGGAACAATGAGTAGTCCCCATAAGTTAGAATCTAATTACATACAAGATTTAAAGGCAACAAAATGCCCAGATGAACAGCCCTATGTTATACACCATAGACATGGGGTTAAAAGGGCAAGAGAGCATGATTATAATAATACTTATATAGTATGGTTCATTCCCTTATAGCACTTTGCAATCAGAAAGTCTTACAACACCCCTGTGAGGTAGGTTAATATTATTATTCCCATTTTACAGATGGGTAAACTGAGGCACAGATAGGTTAAATTATTTGCCTAAAAATCATGTAGTAAGAATCAGGAATAGACCCCATGAATCCTGATGGCAAATCCTCTGAATTAACCGATAGACCACTCTCAAGTGAATGCCTGAGACACCTCTCAATGAATGGAGAGAATATATTAGCCATATTTACACAGATACATTGTCATCCCTTTGACTTGTCATACATATTCTGACTTGTTTAGAGGACAGATAACAATGGCCATAGATAAACTTGACTGTAACATGTTGCTTTAATTCTTGTTGCCAACCCCATGTGGTTTTTTGACTCCTTCACAACCTGGGATGTAACTAAATGTTAATGACAATACACCTTAAATACATTCTTGATATCTTTGCTTCTCCAAGGTGAAAAAGCACAATTACTCTTCCTTTAAAGTGCAATGGCTCATTACAGAAATCTCAAGATTTTCCATGAAGTCCAACCAAACCCAAGTACAATCAGTCTGAAGGTGAAAAAGAAAGAACTTGTCTGTAATGATGGACATGTCTCTATATTCCATAAATAATTTCTCACATTCTATCGAGGCTGAAAGATAAAAAATAATAACCTATGTTAGCATGTAAAAACCTCTAATACTTTTCTACAGCCACACATCCACCTTTCACCGCACTGTCATTTCTTTGGCCTGAAGCTGAAGGACACATCAACTGTAAATATTACTTTGCCTACAGGAATGAGGATATAGCTATTATCTAGTAGATTTTTTTAATCAGTTCCTGTATTTCTTGTCCTTCCCCAGAAATCTAACTGTACTATCTGAGAAAATGAAAGATGGACCTTGAGTAAAAAGGATTCAAACCCTCAAAATTTGTGTACAGATCCAGAGGTAATTCCCCTCCCACCTTCTTGATCACACTGTCACAGCCGTTCTGCACGGCCCAGTTGGCATTGATTTATTACTATTAGTAGTATTAGTCATTTTTTTTTTTTTTTTTTGAGTTCCAAATAAGGCTGCTTAGCTCAGTGTTCCTGGGGAAAATGTAACCTATCCCACTACCTTAACAGAAATTCTGCCAGCCTAGATGGTGCTTTGGATCACTACACACAAACGTGATGCGCTACTTCTATGGCGAGTTTGACTGCGAATTTCAAAGCAGATTCTTGAAACATACTAAAAAATTAGTGCTTTTATTAACAGTTTTACAAACAGAATCCATTATTGTCTAGTTTCCTGAAGGATAGAACAAGCCATTTCTCTCATTATTTTGACATCGTTTACTTGTATGGGTTTTTTTTTTTGGTTTTTTTTTTTGTTTTTTTTTCCTTGTGTGTGTGTGTGTTTCTGCTGATGTGCAGTTGCAAGTCCCGAGAGGGAGGGCTTAGTATAATCAACAGTTAAATGTTGCTAATTTGATACTTTAATTTGCAACAGCTTTCCTCTTCAAGTGAGGGGGATCCCACAAGTTTCTATTACCTTGACTCAGAGTTCATCATGAAGAGTGTAAGGATCATTAATCTTCATGGAAAAAGAGACTTCTTTTTTTTTTTTAAGTAAAAAAATATCAAATATAATAAATTTATGAAAGACCATTCACAACATATACAGTAAGTGTTACATTTTGCTACAGCAGCTGTGAGTTTTTTTTTTTCTTTTTAGAATGCAAGGTCATACATTGCCATAAGTAAACACACTAATATGAGTAAGACCTTAAATGAATGTATACAGCCAGGCTTTATCTGTGGATAGATATACACTGTGTTTACTGTTTTACAGTCTAGCCTATTCTTATTCACACCATTGATATAACAGCTATGACCCTGCCGAGAATCTTCCTGTGCATATATAAATATAAACATTGAGCCAAGTCAAAAAGAGCAGGGTCAAATGTTATATGACTTATTAGACTCCTGTAGTTAAGGGTAAAAACTCCACTGTTTCTTTTGCAACTAATTTTTAATAAGAAGGCTTCTTCAATCGTTGTGTAGTTACAGCATTACATTCTGTAAACAATGTTTTAAAGCATTCTAAACAAACAATTAAACAATTGATTCTTTATCCTTGTCAGGTGAGAGAAGACAATCTATAGCCTCATCGCTTTTGCTCACGTCCGTTATCTTCAGCTGGAGGTTTTCACTCGTGCCTCTGGTGACGCTGTCGTAGGATGGAGGGAAGGAGGTGGAGGACAGAGTTTCTGATTTGTCTATTGGCCTGCCGTAGTTTTCGTTCATCATGAACGCAATGAGACCCTCCTTCTCGGGCGCATCGTCCTCCAGGATGCTGCTCTCCAAAGTTCTGTGCCTGTACAAGTAGGACGCCTGCTTCATGGAGCGCCGGAACAAATGTCTCCTGTAGGCCCTCTGGATGACGATGGCGGAGACCTCTTCTTGTTTCCGCCTGAGCGTTGTTGTTATCGGCTCGTAGGAGATCTTAGAGGGATTGGCTGCCATGAACTTCTCTTCCATCTGTATTTTGAGGGCATCCATCTCTCCGGATTCTCCTAGCACCCTTTTTGTAAAAGCAAACAAAATATCCAAGCAATGGATCCTGTCTCCGCTGACCATGGGCAGGTCCATCGCTATGAGTTTGATTTTGTTTGGTTTCGCTATGCGCAAAGGTTCTGACAGCGCGTCTGCAAAGTCTGAAAGTGCAGAATACTCAATAAACTGAGTGGCTTCGGGGTCAAACTTCTCCCAGATTTCATAGAACATATCAAAATCATCCTCGCTTAGAGGCTCTGTACTTTCCTCAGTGGCTACACTGAAGTTCTCTAAAATAATGGCTATATACATGTTTACAACAATGAGAAATGATATAATGATATATGTGACAAAGAATAAAATCCCTACAGCAGGGCTCCCGCAGTCTCCCTTTGAACCATTTGCGTTGGGAAGGTTTGGGTCGCAATACGGTGGTCCAGTGTTTAAAATAGGGTTGAGAAGACCATCCCAGCCAGCTGATGTGGTGATTTGGAAGAGACAGAGCATGCTGTTAGCAAAGGTTTGGAAGTTGAACATGTCATCAATCCCATACTCCTTCTTCACATAGGCAAAGTTAGCCATGCCAAAAATGGCATAAATGAACATGACCAGAAAGAGCAAGAGGCCAATGTTGAACAGAGCAGGAAGGGACATCATTAAGGCAAACAGGAGAGTTCGAATTCCTTTGGCTCCCCGGATGAGTCTCAGGATCCGGCCAATCCGAGCCAAACGAATGACTCTGAAGAGTGTGGGAGAGAAGAAATATTTCTGGATGATGTCAGAAAGTACGGTGCCTTGAAAAGAAAAGAGACAGATAGCAAGTTAGTACATGGGAAATAATCCCAGGCTTTCCTTTTAAAGCAATCAGTCAGGATTATTGAGAAAATAAATGGAAAGCTGCCCAGAGTGGAAGGCTCACAATGAAGGGAAAGGCGTTGTTGCTTTTTCATGCCCATTTAATCCATAAGAACTTGTGATACTGTAAGCAAAGAATGGTAGTGGCAGTTTTATTAAGGGAAAGCTTTTCTGTTGGTAATGAGAAACCAAGATCAAGTCAAGACACAGATAACTGCAGCTTTTTGGCCATGACCCACCTGATAAATTTGTGTTGAGTGCAGATGTCAGAATGTGTCTGATATGACAACATTTTTGTCTGTAAAATAATGAGTCAGAAATGCTGGTGTGCTTGGCCTGGTTTTTTTTTGAGCTACCACTCGAACAGTGCAGGTTTCTACTGTGTATCCATTTGGTTGGTTTCTTGCTTATCAATTTTTCCAGTTTCCCTGATGGGCTGGGAGGGAACTAAGGCTGTGCTAGCAAGGAAACGAGCTTGCAGCCCTGTGCTAAACTCTTCCTTCAGGAGTAGAGCGCTTGTTCCAGAAAGTGTAGTGCCAAGTCCCTGGCTGCACTGAGCCCTGCTGAGCTCCTGACTCCCACAGGAAAATTGGCATGGCCCAAGGCCTCTGACACTGAAACAACCTGGCTGGTTAAGGGACAGCACTGTGAGCAGCGTGGCAGCTCTGGTTACCTGTGTGCTCTGGGCACATCCAGAGCATCTGACCTCAAGGTTCTGGTGACAGCTGTGTGGCAGTGACATTCCCTGGGTGACCCAAACCTGTGAAATCCAGGCTGTTCAATGCCCCCAAAGCACAGGTGGGTCTCTGAGCACCAGAGATCTGCACCGGGGTCTTGCAGCTTCTCCAGTCCACTACGGGGTGTTCAGAGCAGCAGGAGCATCAGCTGGTATTTTCCAAACACATCACTTTTTTCATTCACCTATTCCCTCCCTCAAAATGGAAACTTTTTTTCAGAAGTGTTGAATTTCTGAGCTCCTTTTGCTCACTGGATCAGTTGATCATCTTCCAGTTGCTGCTACTTCCAGTTTTAGTGAAAACTCTTTTGGCTGGATTTCAGATTCACTTGACCTGCACTTCTTTAATATCTAAATACATCTCCAGAACAGCAAATTGCACAAGCTAACAATAAAACTGTGTCTTTCTGTTTCATCCCTTGGCTATATGAGGGTGTGGAGCTCTAGTAACAAGGTTGAGAAAAGTCAGATTCAATGCACTTCCCAAACATGCCCTGATGGACTATTTCAAACTTCTGTAATAAAAAGCAAATAGCAAAGTAATAGAAATCAACGTGTGCCACTTTCATGTGTCTTTTTTATTTCTCTGTCACTGGCTCTTATGAAGAACTGGTGTTCAGTGTAAGTGGTGTCCTGTTCATGTTTTATCACCAGGACCTGTTAAGTGTGGTTGATAAACCTCCTACTTTTTCTGATCAAACCAGTTTTTGTTAGGCAGTTGTATGCCAGTTATAATTGCATTTTCAAATTGTGTTTAGAATTCAATTCTCTGAGTTGAAAGCATATATTATTGCACAAACCCTTCAACTTTACCAATTAATTTTACATCTGCCTTTCTAACCTTGGAGTCTGGGTGAAAATTCAGGGTCACCTACCTACGATGGACAGAATCACAACCACAAAGTCAAAGATGTTCCAGCCGTTGGTGAAGTAGTAGTGTCGCAGAGCCAGCATTTTGAAGATGCACTCCCCGGTGAAGATGGCAACAAAAAGCATGTTGATTTTGTGGAGGATGTTCACTTTTTCTTGACTTTGGTCATCTGTTTCCACCATCATGGTAACCATGTTAAGGCAGATGAGAATCATGATGGAGACATCGAAGGCTTGTTTTGAGACGACATCGAAAATAAAACCTTGGTATTTGTTCTGGGGGAAAGGAAAAGGTTTAGTTGGGAAATTTGAGCCGTGTAAAAATGATGTAATTGTCTCCTGATTGATCAGAATATAGAGAAAAACAGACAATATATCGCATCTGATTAAAACTTCATAAACTTAAAATGATGATGAATATTTTTTGATGTAGTTTTCAAACACATTTGCTCCCAATGCTTTTTGAAACTACTTTAAACAAGACTCTGGACTGTGGCCATGAATTTATTCAGTGCAAGCAGGTGGCCACTGGCATATGTAAATGGCACATGTAAATTGCAACGTTGGTCAATGCTGCAGAAGAGGGAATTTTGTACCACTGGACTTGTAAATATCACCCAAAATCCAAACATATAATTATTAAGTGCCTTTCATCTGGGAGCAATAAATTTTCCTATGCTGGGGAGTTGGAATGGTGCTTATTTTAGTAAATAAACATTCAGCTATTACACAAAGTTCAACTGAATTATGCTGTTCTTACCAGTGGCCTTGGGATTGGTTTTTGAGGCTTCTTAGATCCCAGCTTTTTCATTGCATTATAATATTTTTTCTGTTCTTCTGTCATGAAGATGTCCTGGCCACCTAAGTATAGGGTGAGAACAACACTATTACTTTTGATGAAGAGAGCTTGCCTCTGCCCCCTTCAAGGATGAATCCTCTCCTATTTAATTTCCCTTTTAATGTAGTTTTCCTCAGGTTGGACTGCTCAGAGGTACAGTGGTGTTGTTGCACAGAGGGCACCAGGCCACTCTGTGTCAAATTTTGTGCCAGAGATCCCCTCTGCTTGGGCTGCTTTGCTGCGTTCTGTGGGGAATAGAGTCCCCCACCCTCTATTTTCAGGATGTTCATGCTCTAGGGACACTAGGGATTGCTACAGCTGTGCCTTTGTAGAAGTCCTGCAAGGTGATTTCTGCAGATGCTCTGGCACTGCTGATCTCAAGGCTGTGGCAAAGCCATAGCTGATAAATCTGTTCCTGGCCTCGGTCCCTGCAGGAGTCACAAGATGATGTCTAGCATATGCAGTACTTATCTTTTTCTTTTGTTGGTTAAAATTGTCAATGATGACACCAATGAAGAGGTTCAATGTGAAGAAAGACCCGAAGATGATGAAAATCACAAAGTAAAGGTACATGTATAAATTACATTCCCATTCAGGCTGCTCCTCGCACTGCAAAGGGAAAAGGGAGAGTGTCAAAATGACACCACCTCTGCACACATCAAAATATTGAAGCAGTCAAAACAAAGCTGTCCATTGGAAATAAAAGCCATGAAATATGAGAAAAATACTGTAACTAACTCCTGTGAGCAGTCAGCTCTCCTCTGAAGTTTACCACTGGCTTCTGCAATGCCACAGTTATTTCAGCAACACTTCACAACACTGTCACAGCAATCACACTGCTCCAGAAAGTGAAACTCCAGAATAAATCCTACCAAATGTTCTCAGTCTGAACCCAGAAGGGGGAAAAAATCAATTTTCTGATTATCCTAATGCCTGTATGAACTAATGGTACTTACAATAAAACAGAAGTATGATTGCAGTATAATTGAATCCTAATGAAATACACGGCATTTTAAAGTGCAAATTTTTTTAGTGAGGGGTGGAATGGAATCAGATCTATTGCTGAAGATCTGAGAAAGAGGTGAATTGAGTCTGAAAACCTCACGTCACCATGTTTGGCAACAGTGCCCAGATTTGCCCCATCAGCTCCTGCCCCATCAGCAGAAAAGACACTCACTCAAAGTGAAGGTGTAGGGAGGGCTAAATGTTTGTCTCACAGGGCAATTAAATTTAACCCAGCACTTTTAAAGACATGTAATCAGCAGAAGTTGGAAAATAAGGCAGTGAGCAGGGAAAGGAGAAGAAATATAGAGAGCAATTTAGATCTTTGATGGATTCAGACTAATTCCTGAGGTGCCTCTGTGTGCTGGGACCTCTGCAGCAGGAATAGATAAATCAGTTGTGTAGGAGTAAGGGCCACATTTACTTTAATTTCAGGGTCATCCTGCTCCAGTACAGCTACCAACAATGAGAGTCTGCAACTGTCCCAGCCAGAGTAACACAGGGACTGGCACCCTGCTTGTATTTGATTTTGTTGTGTTTGTTGTTAAGCATCATCAGTGCTGCAAAAGGCAATGGAACAGGAAATTATTCATTTCCTTGCAGAGACTTACCTCTCTTGAATCCACTGCTGCATACATAATATCCATCCAGCCCTTAAATGTGGCCTGAAAAAAATCCCACATAAGACATAAACATATTAAACAAGTACACCCTGAAATGATATAATCTCTGTGATGAACTTTCAAAATGCAATGTTGAGCATGTACTTCACAATTAATACATTGCCTGCCTTGCAATCTAACATGTGTCCTTGAGTTTATGCTTATTTATAAATTTAAATTAATTCCAGTATGATTTTATCCTGGATTTTCTCATTTCTGTTTTTTGACTTCTGCACTTGCAGGGATGAAAGAGAGGTTTTTAGTAGAGATCTTAAGAAGGAAAGAAAACATAACAATTAAATCTTTGGAAGTTCTGACCTGAAAAATTTCAAGTAATGAAGAGATATGGCTACACATAACATTAAAGAATGTTGCCTTGCACAAGCCTTGCACAGGTGAGATGGATCCCACCCATTTCCTGCTAAAGCTTGGATTCTGCCCTCTTCTAAACCAGGGCAAATCACGACAATATTAAACCCCAGGGAGTTGCATAAATCACAGCTGACTTGAAAGAAGCAAAGGCAATCAACACCTGCTGTGAGCCTGGCCCTGGAAACTCAATCTGCTTTACTGTTCAGATTTCCTTTTTATTAAGCATTATGAAGTCCGTAGTTTTAATTTTTTTTTTTTTATATAATTGTTTAAAGAAGAAGTCAGAAGTCAGTCACAGAAGTCAGTGTCTCTTATTGGAATGTTCAATGCAGAAGGGCAGTGAAGGCACTCCTAGGAGAAACACAGGGAAGGGATTTTTTTACTATTCTGTAGCAAACCCGCGACTCTTTGATCTCAATATATGCCTCTTATTAGGCACAGCCTGATGCCAAGCACGCCTGGAATTAGGTCTGACTCTGGCCTAAGCCCCACTGACTGCATTTGGGTTCTCTAGAGTTGTTTCTTATTTGACTTCTTGTCAGAACTCAAAATGTCCCTCAGACATTTTTGGATGTTCTGGGCCCAGGTCAGAAGCATTTGAGACCCTGGCAGGCAGCTGGAAACAGCTGTGATTTTGGGTTTGAGCCATGGAATGATTTACCAACCTTGCAGGAAGAACAAGAAGTCACAAAAGTTTAGATGTTATAGTAGAAGTAGTCACAAAGTAGAGGGAAGAATTTTTGAGTGCTGTACAGGGGAGTTTTAGTTTTGTACATGGAGGTCAGAGGTTTTAAGATGGAGGGATTTGGGCCTGCTCTGTCCTCCCTCTTTCTTCTTCCTCACCTCCATGTTCTTGGTGATGTTGGCACTCACAGATTGGTTTAGAGTAGAAAAGCACCATTTAGTATAGGTAATAGGTATTGGGGGAAAACTGTAACCATGTAACACGTAATGTACCATATAAAAGATAGAAAAGCACCATTTAATATAGGTAATAGGCATTGGGGAAAAACTGTACCCATGTAACACGTAATGTACCATATAAAAGATAGAAAAGCACCATTTAATATAGGTAATAGGCACTGAGGAAAAACTGTAAACATGTAACACATAATTTACCATATAAAAGACAGCAGCAGCCCTGGGCGGGGAGAGAAGAAGCAGTCGGGAGTCAGAGAGGATGTCAGGGTGTGTGTGTGCCTCTGCCTGAGCTGTGAGCAAACCACAGCAGCCCCAGAAGAAAATCTTTTAGATAACTTGCAATAAACTGCCTTGAGACCAAACAACAAGAGACTGCTGAGCCTTTCTTTGAAAGCATGGGGTTGAGGAGAGATTTTTCCACCACACAAAGCCACCCCTGACCTAGAGGTGAGCTCCGGCAACTTCTGACCTATTCAGACTTACCCTGACCTCAGTCAGAGTGAGCAGATAATGAGGCATTTTTACATTTGTTAATTTCATCAGATTTACACTGGCATGTGTGTAAGACCCACACCCAATATTTTTTTACATCCTACTGACACTTAAGTTGAATTTTGCCCTGTTGTGTAGGCATTCAATTCCAGATAATGCCAGTAGGATTTTGGCCAGAGGTTACCAACAGAACCCAGGCAGTTGGGCTGAGGTGGGTACATTCAGTGGTTTTAGAACTCTCTATTATTATATTAAGTCCTGGAGGTAATGCTGCCTTCCCAATTCCTTCTGAATGCTACTGAGCCAAAGGAAAGTGTACAAGAGATCAATGATATTTCTGACAAAAGTATACATAAAATAGTGTTTGAAAGGTTGCACCTATTCCTATCTACTGCTTGAAAGAGATTAACCCACTCACCCAAATCAGAATCCTTTAGAAAATCTCTTCCATGGTGCTGTGTGTTAAAAAACACTTTAGATAAAGTATCTACAGGAACAATCATAATTTTTATCAAAATAAATAATTATTTGAATCTGTCATGCTGATACTGCTTAAATATTCTAATATTTTCCTTTTTTTGCCATTTTCTTTCTAATCTGATGAAAGACTTTCTGCTGCCATTAGAGCTTTCAGCTCAAAGTGCTCTTCAGGAAGGGTGGCTGGGATGAAACACGAAATCCTTTCCCTGTGGCACAAAATGATATAATCTTAGCCTGTACTTTGCTCCCACTTGGGAGGAAATCTTTTCTCTTGAGCAGCAATTTTACCCCTCAGTGTGTACCACAGACGTGAGCAACTCTCCTGCAAGGCACAGTGGTTTGTAGTGATAAAGGACAATGAAGTGATTTGACAATAAAAAAATAACTATTAAGAGAATGAAGTGCTGTGATTTTCTGTTTCCCGCAGTTGTCAAGAAGCAAGAGAATTAAAAATCTTTGGGACATCTGGAAAGCTTCCCTGGACACTTCACCTGCAGAGGGTAAATGATACTGAGAATGAAAGAAATATAACACTGAGAAAAGAAATTGTTTATCTGGAATTAGTAACCACTTACACTCTGGATAAGGAAGTGACAAAATCTGTGTTTGAGTGTTTGTGATATTATCCTGCCTGGAAGCTATCCAGAGAAACACCATTTTCTACTGAAACTGTCATGTGATGAGATTATCTACTGATAAACTCATCCTGGGATGGGATTACATTTCGTTATTTCACTGGTGGTCAGAGCTGCAATGCAGCAAATTAGTGGGGAGGAGGAAAGGTGGGATGGCACTGGCTGCCCTCAACCACATGGTGCCTTGAAATAAATAAAATCTTTAAATCTGTAAGTTTTTTTGGGTTATTTCTTTTTTATTTTTCTTTTTCTTCTCCCTCTCATTTTTCTTTTTAGTTTTTCCTTTTCTCTTTTTCTTTCTTTTTCTTTTTCTTTTTCTTTTTCTTTTTCTTTTCCTTTTTTTTCTTTTTCTTTTTCTTTTTCTGATTCTTTTTCTTTTTCTTTTTTTTTTCTTTTTACTTTTTCTTTTTCTTTTTCTTTTTCTTTTTTTTTTGTTTTTTTTTTCTTTTTCTTTTTCTTTTTTTTTTTTTTTTTCTTTTTTTTTCTTTTTTTTTTTTCTTTTTTTCTTTTTCTTTTTCTTTCTTCTTTTCTTTTCTTTCTCTTTTCTTTCTCTTTCTCTTTTTCTTTTCTCTTTTTTCCCTTTCTCATTTTTTTTCTAGGAAAGGAAATTGTTCAATAAAAACGTCTGCTTTTCATGGTTGAAACACTGATTTTTCACACTGCTGAAATGTTTCTTTGGGCATTACTGCTGATGAGAGAAATATCTGAAAGCTAAACCAGAGATTTTTTTGCACGTTTTGCATCCACAGTGACAGTAAAATCGGGCATTGCAGTTCACAGAAGTGCAAGAGATGGTGTAATGCAGTAACTTTAGACTCATGACCATTTTGTGTCTGATTTATGGGCTCAGACATGACTTCAAACCTGGCACGAGGGATTGCTTTAACTCTGCAGCTCCTGCTTGCTGTGCTGCTCTAGAAGTGCTTCTGTTATCTCCCCAGTCCTCATCTGGAGTCCCAAAGTGACAGAGTTAATAGGACAAATTCAAAGCTAAGTAAGATATAGTCAATCTAACTCCATTCTATCCAAGGAGAACTTTTCCAGACAAGACAGATTCTGAATGAAAGACCACTTATTTCATGGTTATTCTGAAATTTCAAAATCCATTGCAAAAAAAATATGCAGAGGTGATCACAGGGTGGAAGTGTGAGGTTACACAAGGGAAATGCAAAACTGCTACTGGAAATTTAATATATTTCTTTGATCAGCTCAAATATAGATTTATAGAACACAGGTGCTGTGATACTTTAAGGAAATTTGGAATACAGAAAAAAACATTCCTGAAGCACTGCGTTGTAGCAAGACCTTTTCCCTGCTAGGTTAAGGTTTTAGGAGTGCTAAATCTCCAGGAAAGTGAATCATCCTTCTTGCAAGTCAAAAAGTTGTGATGACAGAGATCTTTTCCTGCCCATGAATGAGGCATTCCTCTTTCTTGTAGACTGAGCAGAGCAGTTACCTTTGTTATTTTATTAACCTGTTTTGGGACAGCTTGTTTGTTACTTGGAGGATCTTGACACTTGACTTTGCATGAATTTTTTCTCACACTCATTAACCCAAAGTGGCAACTTCAGGACAGCACAATGGATCCCAATCATGGTAGAAAAATGTCAGAGTCCAGGACATCCCTCTGGCTGCCTTGGCTGTCTCCAGACCCTGGCAGGGGGCTTGGAGACCTTGGCACAAAGTCAAAAACATCTGTGGCTTCAATTTTAGCCCGTTGAAAAAACTGCCAACATTGTATGAGGAATTACAAGCCACAAGGGTTTGAGTAGTGTGGTAGTTGAATTAACACAGGGTGAAAAAGCAGAATTTTGGGGTTTTTAGAATGGGGTTTAGGGGGACAAGATGGAGGGATTTGGGCATGTCCTAGCCTTCTTCTCCTTCTTGTCCTCCATGTCTTGGTGTGATGGTGACACTTTTTTGTTGGTTTAAGGTAGAGACACACTGTCCGACATAAATTATAGATATTGGCACGTTACTGTAAACATAGTACAGGTAGTTTTGAGTATAAAATGTAAACACTGCCCAAGACTGTGGACAGAATGCCATGGCCGACCTGCTAGACAGAGCTCTGCAGGTCAGAGAAAGAATGTTATAGATAAGGAAAAATAAACAACCTTGAGAACCTGATCCTATGCATTCTGACTCCTTCTTTGGCTGCATGGGCTGGGAGAAAAAAGACTTTTACAATCTTGGGGTCATCTTGACACTCAGACCCCGAGAGGAAAAGAGCAGAAGATATTTGGGGCAAATTTCATGCAGAAAGCTTTCCTCTGGGTAGACACACGTCCTGAAGTTTCCATAGTAGCAATTTTCATTTCTTTCAAACACGCTGCTGAGGAAGACAGAACACCGAGCAGATTTGCTTTACACATTTCCACTTGGATTTTCAGGCTTTCCAAAGGAACTTCAGAGCCACTCAGATCCGTGCTGTGGCAGCTGAAAATGTCAGCAGCCAAGAGACAAGTCGCACTTTAACGCTCGTGTTTTGGATCCTGGCAGGCTGTGACCCAAATGCTTATCTCCTCCTTGCCCTGCTGTGCACAGGGATGCACGGAGGTGTCTGTCTCTCCAGGAGAGCTGGGCTGTCAGCTGAGCCCCTGCACTTCCCACGGGGGTTTGCCCATGAAATGTGACCCCTTATGGAGAATATTTGGCGAGGGGCACCTGTAACCAACACTCCTGGCAAAGGAGATCCAGATGTTTGGGCCCCTTCTTTGTGTGTGTCACCTTTTCACTTTATTGTCTGTGGTCAGCAGCAGACATAAGAGCTCCAGGTGCAGGATTAAAGCCAAAATCAATCCCCTAATGGAAACTGGCTCCTGCTCTTCCTCTGTGAAGAAACAGCTGCCACCTGTCATAGAAGTTGAGCTTGTTTCCTGCTAAAATCAGTTTGTTCAGCCTGACCAGGCCTAGGTTTATAACACTTCTTTTGCAACTAAAAATCTGTTTCTCTCCTACCCAATACAGGATCACAGGTTTGAAAGAAACCTGCAGGGTCATCAAATCCATTTTCAACTGGAAAAGAGCAGTATTAGCCTGTTCCCTTCAAATGTGTGCTGAGATCCACCCTACAACCAGTAATGTTTCTTCTGCCACTGCTGATCCCAAAAGAAGTGACTAGAAAAGACTGGATATTCTTAAGGAAATCCCAACTTATGAAAAGCTAAAGATTTTCAGAAAACTGGAGCTTGATTCTTATAAAAGTAATGGTGAAGGAGTAGCTACCTCTCTGATGGAGTTTCCCCTCAAAAAATTAGGCAGATGTTATATAACCCGAGGAATTAAAAAACTTCAGGTAAGGCACAATATTTTAAACCTGGAAATTATTGCTCATCTACATTGGATGTTTAAATGAAAGACAAAGAAAACACTATTTAGAACAGAAAATCTAATTAAAGGCATTCAAAGTGAAATAATCTACCCTGCATGGCTGAGCTGAATATCATAATTACGTGCAACAGATAAAAGCTCTCACTCTCAGCAAGTTTATGTCATGGAAAGAATCAAAAGTGCTTGTGCCCCTTCCAAAGTTACTGCTTTCCAGAGGGTGTGAAAGAAAACCTCAATGGACACTGATCAGAAGATCTCAAACTCAAGTGTTTGTGTACCAGGAACTGCACACATAAGAACAAAGATTTCTACCAGAAAGGAAAATTGCTTCATGGAGCTGTTCCATGCATCTGTGACAGAGAAAACCAGATCAGGGAAAAATAAACTTGCTTCCTGGGAAGGAGAAGGGCTGGCAGGTCTGATGGGAGGCTTGTGCCCCTTTGGAAGGGCAGGAGGAGGCTGATGGCAATACCCTGCTCCATTGCAAAGGGTGGATTCTATAGGTGACAAATGATTTGAGCTCCCAGGACACAATTTTTTTATCCTAGAATTCAGAGATGCTGTCACAGGCTTTTCAACGAAGAAATTTCCCTGTCCAAAGATGTATCAAAGAGCTTATTTAACTCTGCATGCAAAAAATGCAATGAGCAAACATTTCAAGTGCACATCCAGCCTCTGTCATCATTTGGCTCCAGATTAGGAACAATAGAAATAAGGATCATAATCGCTATTTTATGTGAGGGCCCTATGGAATTGAAACACAAAAGAATTTGTCTGAAATCACCCAGCAGCAGGGCCTGGGCAAGGTGGAGTCTCCTATGGTTCTTTATGTTAGGTTGTCCTGTGTCAAAACAAGTGAATCTCAATGCATACAACCCATTTATCTATATTTTACATTTGATGGTGAAAAAGGTTGTAGAAGTGGCTTCTGCCTTTATAGCTCAGATATTGCCATCATCTTTGAACCTCAGCAGTCTCTTTTCTGCGATGCTCTTGCCACCTTCCCAGAGAGGCTGGGCTGGGGGCAGTGTCAGCAACCTGATCCCCTCCCTGACCCATAGTTAGATTCAATCTGAATCATTATTTTAGCAGGTGGACATGAGGTGAGGAACTACAATCAGAGGCACAAGTGTCCTTCTCAAAAATGGAAAGTGAGCAGAGGGACATAAATTAAGACTTCAGCTCCATGCAGTAATTTAAGCTGGGAAACTGAAGGCACTAGAAGTTCAATTTTTTCCCAGCAGGATATAGAGAAATCCCAGGCTGTTCAGGAAGGCCAGTGCACTCTGTCTGCATGGACAGCTCTTCCTGTAGCACAGATTTATTTTCTGGAAGTGAACTTTGCTCTGGATTACAGTATTGACAAAATGGTCTTTAATTCACCTCAATAAGTCAATCACCTCCCAGAGAACTGTATTAGTGATATAGCAGCAGAAACCCAAATTAAAATCATAAACTCCCATAATATCTCTAGTCCAAGTTAATATACGAAATGTGATTTATTTACACTTGAGAAAAGTTATTGTCCTGATGGTCAAGTCTGAAAAACTCAGAAAAGCCCAGAGGTTAACCTGAGCTTTTAAACTGATGGTTCCAGTGAGAACCAGCAACATCTGCCCATAAGTTTCTGGTGGTCACACTTACCACTTGCAGCAGAGCCAGGTACCCAGCACCAACATTATCGAAGTTAACTTTAACTTTTGTCCAGTAAAACGTGCCCGACACGTTGTAAAGTATGCAGTCACTCATGTTGTTAATAATTTTAGAGTCCAAAGGCATATCTCCTTCTGTCTTATTAATGCACTTCCCAAACTTCCCAGCAAAGAGGTTCACTCCCATGATGCTGAAGATGAGCCAGAAGATGAGGCAGACCAGCAGAACATTCATGATGGAAGGGATGGCTCCCACAAGGGCATTGACCACCACCTTGGGGGAAAAAAGGAAAGGGAAAACAGAATTAATGTCAGCACTTGTATGGACACTTCATTAACAAGGGTTCATTAACATCTGAACCCTCACATGGTCACAGGTGGATAAGCACTGACACTGCCAGACCACCCCTAAAGGCTTCAAACATTATTATTTTTTCCTTTAGGTGATCAAAGAAGGAATCTGTTGGCATCCCACCCAAGGGTTGATGCTTTTTCAAGAGGAATCTCTGAATTCAGAAGTCATCCTGACCTCTCAAATCTTTCTGGACAGTACACTTCAGTCAAACTATAATAATAATGGGATTAATTGGAAAAGGCTGGGGTGTGCTACAGTGGCTCAAAATAGAGAAAAGAGATTTCTGAAATATTTGAATCCACTCAGGCCTCTGTAGCCAGTGGGTTGTGAACTATAGCTGTGATAAATTTTGCTTAATTAAATAATAACAGATTGAGACATACTGTACTAAGCCAGCTTCCCCTATCTGATCAGTATGCATGAGTAAAAGAGCAAAATCATTCTAATTTAACAAAGAATTATTTTTCTTTCCTGTGTTATGCTGTAAAATCCCTACACATTAACCCAGAAAGGGCTGTAAAACCCTGCTTAAAATCATACATTAAAACAAAAAGCAGAAGGAGCTTTTAAGGTGTGTGAACAATGGCACTGGAAGTGGACACCATGCTGAAGCCAAGCAAGAAAAACCAAAGTTCAGACCATCTGCAGACCGTCCACAGCTGCCAGGTTTGAATGCAGCACTGTGACACCCCCACATCACCCAGGCAAGGTGCACATCATTTACTGTTTTGAGCACTGTTGGGGTTTAAGGTGGTTAATGCATCTGTGCATGCCAAACCTTACACTGAAGAATCAAAGATCACTAAAGAATCAAACAGAATATCCTGAACTGGATAAAGAATCAGAATATCCTGAGCTGGAAGGGTCCCAGTTCCCAATCCTGCACAGGACACCCCAAGAGTCACACCATGCAAGACATTTTCTGAGGGAAGAACTCTATCACAAAATGTAATTTTCCCCTTTCCTATGCAAATCAGATTTCTCCATGTTCACAGCCTTTGCATGGTCCAGGCAATGCTGCCTCCCAGACAGGTGCACACACCAGCCCCACAACACAGATTTGTCCCCATCCCTGTCTCATGCTTTGGAGATTAAAATCTGATAGGCATCCACTCAGCTCTTCTTCTTCTCCATCTACATTTCTGAAACTGAGACAGGTGATACTGATCCATAAAAATTAAACTTTATTCAATTGGTGAATTTGATTATGGAAAATGTCAGCTCTTTTTTTCTCTTGGGTTAGTGTCCAATTTTCTGACGAGCTAATAAAGTAACATTCACTTCTCCATCATTTTTGCATTGCTGTGGAAGAAAAATACCCGGAGGAGTGAAATGGTTTTCATGCATGTATAGCAGCAGCTTCCTCTACAGCACACAATACAAAATTATGTAGATCTTCCAAAACTCAGATTTATATTTTGTGCATTTATGAATGAAGCTGATTTTCACACAGGAAAAGCAGTTTGACCAATTGTTTTGTTTTGTTTTTCTGTATAATCCCATTGCTGATGACTTTTCTTGGGTTTTTTTGTTTTGTTTTATTTTGTTTGTTTGCTAATTTTATCTTTCAGTTTTGGATGTCAATCAATTTCTAACCTCATCATTTTTAGACCAAATTTACCGTGTTAACCAAAATGCCAAATAATTTCCAAATCAAAGGCTTGTTTGGATATAGCCTTGGCTCTTGTCAAAGTAGTTTTCATTTGCTTCTCTGCACAACATTTTTCTTCAGTTTTAACCTGTGTCAGCAAAAAAAAAAATGCATTTGTGTTACATGTGCTGCTGAACCCAGGTCCCAGTGACAGGACACAGACATCCAGGTTTCAGCAGTACAAGTGATGGCCATGCCCACATCCTGCTTGTTCCCTTCTGCTGAGTTATGTTTAATAGCCTGTAGATAACAAAACATGACACAAGGCTGGAGCAAATCCTGCAACACCTCTCTGAATGAATTATTAACAGGGGGGTTCTTTCTTGCTGCTTCTGCTTTTACACCAGTGTGATGCCATTTGTTCTGGTGGAAGAATTCTTGTTTTGCACCGAGACAAGTGAGAGGAAGACCTGGATACAGAAACGCAGGTTATTATCATAAATTCATATTAAGAGTTCAGGTGCACATCTTGCCATGGAAAGGGAGGAATTTCTGCTGCACTTTGGAATAGCAACACATATATCCATGTGTAACAAAAGGTTTCATACTTGTTGGTTTCCATCAATGCCTTTACAGGTGAAATCACCTTCCAGGTGACTTCTTTAGGAACAGCCTAGAAATGGAGCCACCCTCTGACCTAACTCAGAGTGGTGCAATCTATAACCTGTGTTTGGTCCCCAGCTATCCTGACCTCAGAGGCCACCTCCTCAACCAAAGCTGATTCAGAATTTTAATCCAGAAATAGACTTGCATGATGAGTTAATCCTCTCTTTGCTCTGATAGAGCCCATCAGACTTCAGACCCAGACTATAACTCCCAGTGAAGCTCAGGCACAGCTTTTGCAAAGACATCTAATTTACAGTGTCATGATGTCAAATAATGGAGGAAAAAATGTATTATTAGATAATCTGTTCCTAGTGCCCTTTGTCCTCAGTTTTAGCAACAGTTGCTGCATTTTTGGGTGGAATTTGTTGAACTCCAGGCATCTGCTCTTAGATGTCTTCTCCTATCATTCCCATCTTCACTGTGGGGGAGTTACCACTGCACATTGCTCTGGGTAATTAAAAAATCAGAGCTTCCTTGTAGCTATCATGGCTTTTTTTTTTTTTTTTCCAGATTTTTAATCACACTTGTAGTTCTCTGCAGCGACTTTCCCTTTTTTAATTCCCCCTTTCCAGCATTTTCATGGAATTCCAGTATTGAAGCATTGCACTGTCCCTCTGTTTTCTGGGTTATTTCCCTGCATATTCAGGGATTCTAACAGTCACCTCATTTGTCAGACTGGCCCCAAAGCTTGTGTCCTGTTGAAAAGTCATCCTGATCCCTGTGTCCTTCTCAGCTGCTGTTTTCCAAGGAACATCCCCCAGAGTGACCTACATTCCTCCTCCTGAGGTAGTCAATGCATGTGGGTTTATTAAAATATGTGTTGTACAACAGATCTATTTTTCACTGCGATCCAGATCAGCCAGCATAATTCCCTTATCTGTAATTTCACTTACACTGATTTTGAGTTCTGTCAGCAAAGATTTTATATTTTCTTCCAGATGCTGTTAAAGTGCAGATTAAAGATAGGTCCCATTCTGAACAATCTCTCACCCTGAGATGCTCATCACCAAATTTACAGCGTGGTCACTGCTTACAATTACTTTTTGACATCCATCACCTACTTTAAAATGTGTTTACTTGTCTTGGTACAAAGCTCGTGTTTTCATCACAATATCTCATGGTATCAGATTCCTCTCTGAAATCCAAGGATTCTCTATCAGCACAGTTACTGCCATCAGCATAATTTGTAATCAAATCAGAGGCCCATATCAATTTTACAAGAACTATTCCCATGAAATCATGCTAACTAGCATTAATTATGCTGTTTCTTTCCTGCATGCATCTTGTGGCAGTCTCACCATGACTTCGCCCAGTATCATTTTCACATTAAATGGTCTCTCATCATCCCCCTCATCCTTCTAAAATACTGCCTAAAATACTGTAAATATATCCTTCTAAAATAACCTCCCTTGCAGGGAAATGCCACCTCTGAAATAATTCCCTGATGGACAACAAATGAGGAGACATGAGAGATGTCATTATTTGGGACAGGAAGATCTAAGGTACTTTATTCTGGGCTCATGAGTGTAGAGCCTCTGGGTCAACAGTCCTATTAGGTGGGATTCTGGCCTTTCTGGGGTCTTTTTCTGAGTGTTGAGGGGCAGGATGGTACCAGTTCATCCTTATTTTGCAGACCTTTGGTGGCATAGGAGCTGCTGAGACTTGTGTCAAACTTGCACAGGTCCCAGGGAGAGAACTGAGGTCTGATGGCAACAGGTTCTCTTGGCCACCCAAATGCTACTCTGCCTCAGGGAAAGTTGCTTCCAAAATTTAGGCACAACAGTGATGAAATAAGTCTCTTACTGCAGTAAATGAGAACTTTCTTGCTCCTGTTCTCGCCCTGCAGAAATGTTTCAGTTATTCAAGAAAGAGGCATTATAATAGAACAAACTATTATTATTTTCTCACTGTCAGTGTTTGCTTCTCAAACATTATCATTATTTAATCCATCACTGCACTGGCAATTTTCCTGTGCATTTTGGAGCATATGAACTCCTAATAATGAAAGGTCTAACTGTCCCTAGTCTTGTTAAGTGTGGTTAGACAAACTAAAACTAAAATGATTTGCTTTTCCAATAGCACGTATTCTCAATTATACTTTATCATGGTTTACAAGATAATTCACCACCTCTGATAGCTCAGAACGACTGAATATATTTCAGCTGCAGCTGTACAGGAAAGAAAAGGGGATATTGAGTTGGGGACTGAGGGGCCTGTAAGAATGAGCGTGCTGGGAAGGAAATTTGCTGGGCTGATCCATGTTAAGATATTCACCAAACCAGCCTCTTGCTATTCTCAGAGAAAAACGAGAAGTTTTTCATGTTACTTTTTCTTTATTCTGCTAATGCTTTTCTGATGTTTTTGGCTCATTTCCCCACTGCTATTCAGGTTTGAATCCAATTTAGTTAAACTGATGTGAAATCATGAGTAAACAACTCTATGTCAGCTTAGAACACACTGAGTTTTGCTTGGGCTTGTAAATCCACCAGTAAAAGCTAAGCCTTCATAAGCCAAGTCTAAACTGATTTGAGAGAATCTCTGCACAAATCACTCTGCTGTTTAAGCTACTGCTTTTGCTAATACTGAATGTTGAAATATTCCATCTGTGAATGTTTAATAAAGACTTAGAGTGAGGTCATCAAATGACAGGAGTTAGAGCTTTAATTATCGTCAGTAGTGCAACCTCACTTTGTGTCTTTGCACTTTGGTTTTGTTTTATTTGGTCAATTACCTGCAAAATATTGCCTGACTGCTGGAAATATTGTGGTGACCAAAGCAATTCAGGTTTGGGTGCCTGGATAAACAGAGCCTTTTGAATCTTTTTGCCTTAGTACTAACAGAGAGGTGGTCTGCAACAATACTTGCCTCATCTTCATCCACAAAAATAATATGTTTTAGCTAATCACAAAATCTTTGGAACAAAGTATTATATTGCCAAATCTGATCATCCACAGAGGAGGAAAAGAATGCATGTGGGGTTTTCCTACACTGCTGTATGGTGATATTTCCTGGCTCATCTCAGTTGTTAGGTTCTCCAGCCTCCAGTCTCTTGCTGTGAGAGCATTGCAATGAGAATAATTCATTGCTGGGAGATCAGTGCATGAAGTACACATTTAGCCACTGATGATTTGGACCAAAATTTTGTCTACAGGAAAGCTTTACCCTGAACATACATCACAGTGAAATATGTAGCATTTTCCTTGACCTAGCAGAAAGATTTGGGATCATCAATATAATCTGACACAGAATTTTGTCACAGATTTGCTTTACCTTGCTATGCAATCTGCAAGGTTAGCAGTAACCTCAGCTCATACAGAACACAGCTGTCACCACCTGCGAGTCATGCATGGTGTGAGGAATTAAATAAAATGCTTATCTAAACAAGAATTGATTCTTGTTAGCAGGTAGGCTTAACAAATAAACAGGTATGCTGTGGGAATATAGCCACAGTGGCAAAGGAATGCAGAAAAGAAAGAGATGGATGCACAGGATGGAGCAATAAGTACAAGCTGCATGATTTTAATGTTAATCCAAACATTCCTCATTAAAACTGCAATCTGTTCAAAGGGAAAAAAAAAATCATTCATTCATTTGCTTTCCCTATCTTTAGCATTTCTAATTTTTGCTTTAATTATTAGTGAAAACGTCCTTAAGAACTTTCTAATCACTTTCATTTTAATGCATGTCAAAACAGGGAGCAAACTTTAGCTTGGTTGCTCCCCTGATACACCTTATAAATGAGAGGGAGTTGATAGCCAGATGCTTCCTCATGCAAAGAAACTGGCTTTTTTTAAGGTGTAGTGTGACAAGTTAGGATTAGTTTATCACTAAATCCACCCAAGGATAAAGATGTAATGATACAACCAAGAGCCAGGAGAGGTTTCTTTGTTGCCACGATAATGAATTTTCCTTTGGCTGACAAAACCTGGTGCAGCAATGCCCTGTTACCCTCTGATCCACACAAGGTTGGGCTCTGGTGGATGCTTTGTGTGCTCTTACCCTCATCCCCTCAAACCGTGACAAGGCTCTCAGCGGCCGCAGGGCGCGGAGGGTCCGCAGGGATTTGATGGGACCCATCTCGGAGTATCCAAGAGTGCTGGCAACCAAACTGATCAAAGAGACCTGGATGGAGACACAAAGTGAAAATGCAACCTGTTAGAACACTCCTGCTATTTTCCTTCTCTTCTGGCTTTCCTCCCTGGAAAGAAACAGCTGGTTGAGTGGAACAGTGGGGGGAAAAAAGTCTTAAATGGATCCACACAGAAGTAAGGATGATCCTTCACAAAGGGGATGAAAAAAATGATCACCATAACAGACCCACCACTCTGGGCTGTTTTCTGTGCACTCCCCGAGGTGTGTGTAAGTTCCACTACCCAAAATATGAGTCAGGTAAGTGTTACAATTTAGAGCTTTTTGGAAGAAACCCTTTTCAGCAAAGATAAAGGATTTTGCTAGTTACATTTAATCACTAGTCTTCAACTGAGTGATCAGAAACAAGTCTTCTACATTGCTGGCAGGCATAGCTCTAAGCACAGACCTTAAAAGAATGATGTGCATGGCTCTTCCATTCTGCTCTTATTCACTTTTTCTGGTTTCTGCACAGTCTCTAGAGGAGATGGAAATTTGAGAGGTGCTCAGTGTTGAGGTTCACACTTTTCAAAGACTATTTCTTTGAGAGGAACAACCTGAATCTGGAAACAGCATGGAGGGGTTCCCATGCTCTTCCTGTTCTCAGAGCTCTTACAGTGCCCTAGCTGGTCAGAAATGTGGTGGCATCAGGCACAGGACTGGATTCTGAATGAGATGAGTGGAGAGTATGAACATATGGAGCAATGGGGTTCTGCATGCTCAAATCAGTGTTCACAGCCTGAAATCTTACTGAGCAAAGAGTGAAAACAAACAGCTCTCCAACACTGTAGCTATTATGCCAATTTGCATATATTAAAAAACCCAAAACAACAAAAAAAAAATCCAGAATCAATCACCACATACTATAAAATACTACCTTTTTAGAAGGAGAAGCCTGTGCATATTGCTTATCACAGTTCCTTTTCTTCCTTTTCAATTTTTTTTTTTTCTTACTTACTATTCTCACAGCCCCAGTTGTCACAGTATTGGATGTCTCATACTCACCAATGGGAGTGTGCAAAGCTCATCTGTGAGCACTGGGTGCTGTTGCCATTTTCAAGATAGCAGCTAAGCCTAAAAGCAGGGACTCCTCTACATTATAAAAAATAGGTGCTAGGAAACTCCAGCACCTCCTTAAACACTGACAGCTCTGGAGGGAAACTTTCCTTTTAATTTTAGGATGGGATGATATTTACTCTGAAGCCCATTGCTGGCTGACCAGCTCAGCATCACCCATGGGATAAATCAGGGCAAGACCAGCCTGGTCCCTAAGTCCCAAGACAGTGTCCCCTGAGCAGCCTTTCTCCTGAATATGCATTTATTTACATACCAGTGCTGTCAGCACAGCTAAGCACTCTTAAAACTTGCTCAATTTGTTAAATTATTTACCTGCTGATGGCTTTATGGTGTCATGTGGGTCACTAAGGGCAGGAGCTCTCAGAGAAACCAAGCCTGAGCTGGGGTTTCTGCCAGGATAAGTCAGCCCTGCTCCTGCAGGTGACTAAGTGGCACAGAGGCTGGCTGTCACCCTGTAACATGTCACTCTTTAACAAGGTGTGACACAGGCTCACCTCCTGTGTACAGACCCAGCACCTGGGGCAGAACAAAGGGCTTGATGAACACTTCTGCCTTTTGGTGCTGATTGCCCTGTGAGAACATCACAGTAGACAGGCAGAGTGGGCTCCTGGTCTGATGTCTTGGGCCTCATAGACACTGAAGGGGATAAAAATCACCAGCAAAGCTTTTGCTTCCATCTCTAGGAAAGCAGATCTGAACCTGTGACTTGAGCATGATGCCTAAGTCATTTGAGAGTAAGCAATGCCATAGGTTTGGCATGCTCCTTTCACCTGGAGGAGTGATAGGATTTCAATCCTGCTCACCTGATGCTCACAGTTAAAGGGAAAAAAAAATCTAGGTTTAACTTAAAAACCATATTCAGCTCACCAACACAGCCATTTTCTGCCTTCCTGTTTCTCACCAACCTGGTTTACATCCTGTACTCTGGAGCTGCATCAACACAGAGTCCAAATCCTCCTTTTACTCACTCTTCCCCCTAATTTACTGTTGCCTAAATAATGGTGAAGGGCTGAGGATTTGTCTAACAGCAGTAAGCAAATGTGCACCATAGTTATATACTAAAGCCATTCAATTAAGTCATCTTAAAAGTCTAAAAAGTAACTGGCATTAAGGAGAAATCATGATAGGAGTAGAACTGTGCCACATATTTCTGTCTTTGGTGGAAAGTTTAGTGCTGAAAATAGCCTTAATCTCACAAAGTCTTGGAGGTTTCTATCCAGAGAGGCTGAAGGTATGAGAAGAGCAGCTCAAGGATTGTATGCTCAGAGATAGAAACAAAGATCCATACACTCACATACCAAGGGAAGCTCACTAATTTGTAAAATTGTTCTGTAAAATGAATGTAGATATTTACATGAAAATTAATCAAATACAGGGTACCCAACACCCTTCTTTGCTAGTTTCACCCATGATGACTGAAAGTCAGATCTTACAAAGGATTTCAAACTGCTTTGGTTGGAGCACCTGCACAATTCCTTCCTCATCCTGGATTTGTGTCCCATAACTACCCTTTATCCCAAGGCAGAAGGTTTTTGGTTCAAATCTTGCAAGACCAGACCAGACTCAAATCCAAGACCACTTGGATTTGAGTGGGTTCTCATTTCCTTTTGAGTGGATCTGAGTGAATTCCCATTTTCTTTTGAGAGGCACAAATGTCACCCTGAAACACATCACAGGTGGTGTTGCCCTCCTGACACAGATTTACACAGCATTAGATATCTCTGCAGAGGATTAGGTCATGAAGCTGTGTGATATTTGGCAATGATTTACAAGGCTGGAGTCAGAACAGAGTTTGAGACAACTTCTTTAAATGCTTGGATGTTGGTTTTGAAGGTATCCCTGTCAAATTTTATTTATAGGAGAATTACTAACGCAGGGACTTGGCCATTTGGACTTGATTAAAAGTGACCCACAAGGTTATTTTTAGGAAAAAAAAATCAAGCAGTTTTCAAAATTGGTGCTGACTGCCCCACATAAACACAGCAGAAGGTGAAGTCAGCTATTTCTATTAATTTTTTTTTTTTTTACTGTTGCAAGGCTGTGCAGCCCAGAGCTGCTCTAAAGTTCTGCTTTGTGCTATGCTCAGAATCAAAAATGTGCTGGAATCCAGAAAACACCTCCAGGGTCAATGTAACCTCCAGATTCAGAAGAAGTCACACACACATTTCTAATCTTTTCAGTACCTGTTTGCAAATAGTTTTGTAGGTTTTTTGTAAAAACCTTCCCCTGAAGCAGCACTGTAATGTGGTGGAGACAAAGTGAATCCTAAGGATCCACTATTGCCTGGAACCATTTCCCATGAAACATTTAATTTGCTGTTGACCTTGAGCTTTCACCTCAGTTTCAGCTTTTTCACAGCAGGTTACAGGTAAACTGTAGAATCCCTCATCTTCCTGTGCATTCCTCCTGATCCAAGCAGATTTATCACAGCTCCCATTTCTCTCCAGCATTTCCCTTGGAGGTCTTTCCAGGGCTTGCTAGATCTGACTAAGAAGCTTTCACAGCTTTCCATTTAACTTAATCAGGGAAGAGTTTCCTTATGCTGGTTCTAGACTGTTCCTCATCCCCTTGACTTGCTGCTCATTTGGTGTCCCTGAAGTCTCCAGCACAATACTATCACTGGAATTTTCTGCCTAACCTGAAGTCCAGTGCACAACCTGGCCAGCAATGAGGGTCTCTAAGGGGGGGAGAAGTCCTCATAAATCAGAGTTTGCAATCCTGCCTCCACAGACTTTGGCCTGTGACACACAGGTCTCACTGATCTCATGGACTAGGATGCCATTCAGTTCATTTCCTACATTAACTCTTCCCTTTTGCATTCCCTGGATCATCTCAGCACAGCCAAGAGCTCAGCCTCAGTGCTGTCAGACACTTCCCAAAATTTATTCTAGCCCAAAAGTGTGGAAATCCTGAAAGAATCAGCATTTCCTGCCCAGCTCAATGGCAGAGCTTCCCAGCAAAGCTCAGGCTCCTGGCAAAGACTTGTAAATCCTACCTAGACAATCCATCTTCTTATTATCATAGGCAGAGAGCATGGAGTTCTCTGATCCTGGTATTCAGGGAAGATTTTTGCCCCTGTTCCCAACTTTCTTTGCCCAGAGATAATTTTATCTTTGTATCTATAGGAGTACTGTGTCAAGAAATATAGACCTGCATTTGTATATCCCCACACATTTCTACATCCCCACATATATCTACACAAAAGTTTATCTGTATAGATTTTACAATAATTTACATGACAGATGCCTGGAGCTGGGTGAAGGGAGAGATAAATGAACCCCCACAGCTTTTATGGTTGCCATTTTCAGTCTCATGATCAAGGGGAAAATGAGAGCTTTTAATTCTGGTGCTCTGGGCACTAGAAATACCAGCCATGGGGGTTGAACAAACCTGTGGCTGTTTTTTTTTGCTTGGGTCTGGAGTGTCCCACTCTATGACATTCATAAGTGTTTCCAGGGCAAAATCAAGAAGAAACAATGAATTTAGAGGGCCAGAACTCAGGGAAGGATCTCTGATGAAAGCTTATCCTCACTGATAGCTGTATAAATTACATAAATACATACATAATGTAACTCTAATGAGAGTAATTTCTGAATGCCTTAATAATTTTGACAATCCACTTCAAAGTCTTGTCCAGGAAACAGAACATTTTTTCAGTAATTTCCAATTTCTTGTCACACTTTCACTATTTTGCAGAATTTCTGTCATACTTAAGGTAAGAAACATGACTTGTGTGTGTGTCCAGGTGATAACTGGAGTAGTGTTAAATTCTCAGTGTGCTCATGTTGCTCATTCTACAATAATTTTATGTGTCTTCATTATCTGACAGTGACCTAAGCAATCAGTGCTGTAAACCAATGTAAACCCAGCAAAGCCACCAGAACAGAATTTTCAGGTGTCAGAAAAACAATTCCAAA